TTTCTGAGCATCTTGGCATCTAGTCTTCTGATACGTTATTATCTTAAATGTGACACAGAAACTCTCATAATAAAATGTTGATTCGTGAAATGCATAAAAACAGTATTAGGCAGTAGAACAAGTGGAATAAGTTGGGGATAATAGAAACTTCGTGAAATGTATTCGACTTGTCTGTTGATGACCACTGATATGAAAGAAAATATTGCGAGCGGTCGCAGAAATGAATTCAGTTTACTTTGTGGTGTGAATAATGTTTAGTGGGGTACTGATAACAATCCTTCTCCAGTGAGTTGACATGATACTAGCTCCAATGGACTGAATTCTCTCGAAAGTGATCATGTTTTTTGACATAAATGTACGTGTATATATGATAGTATGTTAGGCAAGTAACATTGTAAAAAATAATAAAATGTTCTTGTATTAAATGTTTAAAAGTGCCACTCAGCCGCAGAAACATTCTCTGAAATAATTAGTGAAATCGTTATTGTTAGAGTATAATTAACGTGTTATTAGCAATGTAATTGTTACAGAAGGAATTTATGAGATTATCAATTAAAATATTAAATAATTAAATTAATAAAGACTTATATAATTGGTTGAAGTGAAATTGTTAGTACTGCTCTAAGTCTTATCATGGTGTACCTGGGAATATTATACATTTTTTCTTTGATTTTTTCCTTTCCCAAAAATTATGTCATCTTTTTTTACATGGAATTGCATTTATAATTAATTATGGAACATCAAATTTTTTTTTTTAAATGGAATTGCATTTATAACTAATCATGGAACATCAAAGTTCAAAGAAAAGCAAGTAAAGTTGTTAAAACCTATAATTTTACCCGAAATTCTCACCTCAATACATTTTGAATTACAATATTCTCTTCCATAGATTTATTGAATATTAACATCCTAGCTACTCATTCCCCATCAAAGTTCTTCTCAGTAAGTACCTCCACCAAGTTTGTAAGTAGGATTTGAAGTTCTCACGGTGGTAAGGAAGGAGATAGCTGTATTTTGGGTTTTAGTGCCGTGTAGTCTGGTAGAAGTTTGCAAACGTTTCAGAGGTGTGACGCCAAGCAGTATTGTGGTGGTTACCAGAGATAACCACTTAAAAGAAAACATTCACACTTCAGACGACGGAAATTTACAATAAGATAACATATTCGATATATATCGAACATCATGACTAGGATTTCTGAATGAGTCCAGAGAACAGCGTAGTTACAGAACGTACCCGCTGTCTGATGAAGGCTGAGGGCTCTGTGTGGGTGGTGCCGTCTTATCAGCTGATACCATTTCGGTCCTCCGTCCTATGTATTGTGCGTCATGGCTGCAGTTGAAGGCGAACAGACGTTTCAGCTTTCAGAATCTTACGTGAAAGCGCGTAACGATTATTTTCATCGGGTTATCAAATGGTTCTACAAAGATCAGACGTTGTCTGAGGTTAGTGATGTTATTTTTGAATATGCCTGAAGTTAAACGTTTTTAAAGTATGAGCCAACTGGTGTTTTTATAACGTAATGCTCCTATTTACAATATAATATAATGGAGACCTTACACAGAATTATGTTTTGGTTAGTTTGTTATGTGTATCACTAATTGGTTTGCGGAATTATTAATGTCACTAATATTAGAGTACCCATATTAAAAGTTCTGGTAATCTCGATGTATTTTAAATACTTTTATGGGAACATGAAAGTGAAATGACTAGGGCATTTGATTATTTTGGAAAGTAATTTAGATTTTAATTACTTTCCACACAAAAATATACTGAAAATTATCCCAGTTCACAACTAACACTTTCCATGCCTTTAGTTCATATATATGGTAATATTCTGAAGAAAAGTTTAGTAAAGATATTGTGTTTTTTTCACAACCGTACTTAAGACGGACGTATGCCGAGAAAGACATTTTACCTTAAGTACATGGTTTAATAATATTCGTAAAAATAAAGTAATTACTATAACAACTTAACATTTTATTATATTTAAACTCACATTCATGTATCTTTAAAATATGTTTATTAAACTTTTTCGTAAGAATTTTTACTTTGCAATTAAAATCAATACAGTCAGAACTGAGCATTTTGTTTAACCGGAGCGTTACTGAACATCCACGTTGCCTAGAGTCATTAGCGTTGAAGCTGGTCGAAACGGGTTGGAGTAAGGAGATTTTTCAGTACATGTTGATTGTCAGCCATAATAGGAACATCCCATCCGAAAATTAATTTTGCTGGCTGAGTTTTTACGAGATTTTCAAGAAGTAACATGCTTCATATAAATATCTGGACGAGGAGATACCACGTTATCCTGTATCTTTGTTATCAAATCTTGGTGAAATTGAAGAAATTTCGAGTAATGGAAAATATGACAAATTACCTGCTGAATTAAGTCACCTGCATTACGTTATTTTACATATGGATAATTAATTTTTATAATGTGAAACTCCCTGTAATTTTATAGTCAACAAGTGTTGTTCGTTTCAGATATCAGAGCCAGAGATTCGATCTCCGGACTTCGCATTTCTGGTGTGTTTACTTCAGGCAATTGGTTTCGACTTGCACAGAATCGAGATGGTTCCTGCTGGTTCCCCTATTAAAATGGGCCAGGGGTCGGTACTTGCCTTGTGCAGTATCAACATAAAGTGTGAACGGTCTGGCCTGCAAGCGGTCTTGAGGTCAAGGTCAGACTCTGAAGCAACCTCCACCACAAACAGTGACACTCCTGTGAAACAGGTACGAACTCAGACCTTTAAATTCTTAAAACTCTCTCTCGGTTCATAACAACATTTTATTCTGACTGCACATATCCAAAGTCAATAGGTTTAATATATATTTATAATATTCGACTTTCCCCAGTTTTACCACAACACTGTTGTAAAATATTTTAGCACCAGTCTCAAGCCTTCGTGATTTATAATTCTCATCAGTCATAAAATATATTTATGGGATTATTTATAACTTAAGAATATAAATTTACCCGTTTCGTGTAGTTAAACTCGGCTTGTTATCCTTAGGTAAGAATATTGGTTGAATTTGTTTGAGGTCAAAGTGTTGGACCTTAGGGAAAGGAAGTAATAGAGAAAATTACTTAACGATGAGCTTTGTGTTTAGGAATCCATATTAAATATTGCTGTCGGCAATGAAATCACAGAACCTTGAAATGATGTGATTACTTAAAAAATACTCGAACTGAAATTTAACATCTGATTTAAGTATATCAATCCTGTATAGGTGGTGCTTAAAAGTAACCGCAAATGTACGAAAACTCGGATAGGGAAATCGGCCATGACGAGATTCTTGTGTACTTCCCAAACACACATCAATGCATAGGGCGGACACATCTTCTAACGTCACATGTCGATTATCGGGAATTATCATGGCAATACGTAATTAGAAATCGATTACAATATTTTAAACTAATATTTTTTTTAAATTAACCGAATATAAGCCTGTGTTACGGAAATACTTCGAGGGTGTTACATGCAGTGTGGACTGTTTCAGGAAAATATTGAAGGGACTTGCACGATGGCTGGTTCCCTCTTGCCGCCTGTAACACCAGGAAAATCCAGGGTTACACGGGAAATTATCTCCCAACTAATGTCGCTATTTTCCGGAGAGGAACGGACAGGATACAGGGCACCAGAAGGTTGCACCAGCTGGACGTGTCCTCGTACGAAGCAACGTCCTGAGATAACGCAGTGTGAACGCCGTGCATCCCTCGATACTTTCTTCCCAGTCGACTCTTCCGCCAAGGGTCAACATTCAGGGTTGAACTTGGATACGGGAGAAATCGCGGCTACTATGGCTGGATCTAATGAGGCACGTGTTTGTCAGAAAATATCACTTTTTAATGTTACGGAAGTCAACCGTAGGTTTAGTTGGGAGTAGGAATTTGAAGATGGCTGTATTTTGGGTCGTAGTGCCGTATAATCTGGTATAAATTCTCCGATTCAGAGATCTTTGCTGACTCCTTTTCCTGATGCTGGAGGCAGCAAGGACCTCCGAAACGTCGGTAAAATCTTCTACCAGACTACACGGCGCTGGAACTCAGAATACAGTAATTTTAATTCTTGAAGCTTTGAGAACTTCGGATCCTACTGAGTAAAACATTATTCGTGAAGTTGTGTACCGAAAAAGTGTTTACTTTATTAATATTTGATAGATTTCAATATGGACACGACATATGAAAACCTCTCCGTGTGAAAGGCTTCATTTTTGTCAGGGCTGTATTTTTTTTTTAAAAAAATAGTAACATTTATGGAATTATACTCTGGTTAATGCATTTACAGTATCATGTAAAGTGTATTTCCATGTTGTTCGAGATGAACCATAATTGCACGTGATTAACATGAATTTCAAGCGTCAGAAGTTCACTCCATCATCAGCAGCCGCTTATCAAAACCCGAGCTATTGTACACGAATTGATAAAGGCGAAAATTACTTAACTGAATAGACATGGTTCAGTATTTAGGTTAGGCCCGAAATTCAAATTTTACCCAAGGCATCTTCTGATATGGCGGCTTGACGTGATTTTACTCAGTAAATGTATATATAAATGCAACAACATAACGACCGCTTCCTTCCGTATCCTTTAAAATAAATCTTTTATCATTTAAAGTTATTAGCAGTTGATAAATCATCATTAAATAACTCAGTTATGAATCGACGCACGGTTATTTTCACACATAAAAACCCAGTAAATTTTGTTTGAATGTCGTAAGTCCTGACATTTTGAAGGAGCCAGGCATACAGAGTACCGTGATTAACATGAATTTCAAGCGTCAGAAGTTCACTCCATCATCAGCAGCCGCTTATCAAAACCCGAGCTATTGTACACGAATTGATAAAGGCGAAAATTACTTAACTGAATAGACATGGTTCAGTATTTAGGTTAGGCCCGAAATTCAAATTTTAGCCAAGGCATCTTCTGATATGGCGGCTTGACGTGATTTTACTCAGTAAATGTATATATAAATGCAACAACATAACGACCGCTTCCTTCCGTATCCTTTAAAATAAATCTTTTATCATTTAAAGTTATTAGCAGTTGATAAATCATCATTAAATAACTCAGTTATGAATCGACGCACGGTTATTTTCACACATAAAAACCCAGTAAATTTTGTTTGAATGTCGTAAGTCCTGACATTTTGAAGGAGCCAGGCATACAGAGTACCGTGAAATCCAGTTATTTGCATACAAGGAAACAAACCCAGGTTTCTTTTAAGCGACAAAGTAATCAGAATTTTGAGATTGAACCCGTAACTTGATTTACGCGAATGTCCGAAATGTTGTAAGTGACAGATTTTTTTAAATTGTATCGGCAGGCGCTTTATTCGTGTCCAGGGAGTCCGTTACTGGGTGGGAACTCGGTACCACAACTCGTTCGTCAGAAGACGTGGAGTATTGGCAGTATCCAGGAACTCGACAATGCTCCAGCTTCTATTTCGACACCGCCTCTTACGTCCAGTCCCCTGCAGTCACAACAACAAGTAGCTCAGAACTTGGAGAACCTCAGTTTGAACACCAAGGATCCGGCTGTAGTGGACCGTCTTCGTGAGGCTTGCGCTAAGATACACGAGGCACTGTCGATACTGAACTCTACGAAGGAAAACGTAAGTGTTTTCGTTTTGTTATGTAATAAATAGAAGTAAACTTGGGCTATAATATCATTCCTTATTCTTTGGTGTGTTGCTGGGAGCATTCTAATAACGTTTAAGTAAATAGACTGTTTTTCATTACACTTAATATAAATTTTAAATGACGAAAACAAATGTATGAGTTCTGACGCCGAAGGAAATTCTATGGTACAAGCAACAGAGTTTCTGTTTAATATACTATAATTTCTTGGAGATTTTGTATTGATACTGTTGGAGAATTCATGTCAAAAATATAAAGCATTACTACCACAGCCAAATATTCGTAAAAACTCGTCCGTTTGAGAGATTTCATTAGTAAAATACTGTAATTTTGAATGTGAAGTTTGGTGTGACAGATAAAACATGGCAACAAATTAAAATGTTAAAGAATGTATATAGTAAAACTATGTACAACTGTGAAACTACATCAGTAAAGGATTTGTTTTGCCATTTATGCAGATGCCAGGAGTCAGTTCACCTCTTCCGACAAAAGTAAATTCAAAGCCATTTGAAGGTGGTAAAAAAATTCCCTCCAGCAAGATTTCGAAACCCACTCCGAGTTCCACTGCTGGGAATTCGGGCCTGCGACCCGCCCAGCGTCCTGGAACATTCAAAAGGCAGCGGTCCCCCGCGCGTGGAACAAAATCCGTGGTCACCCCTAAACCAGCAAAACGTTGTGGCACAATTTCTACTCCGCCTGGAAAATTATCTACACCTACAAATACACAAGATAATGAAATAAGGTCTGGAAGTTTCATAAACATGTCCGACCCAACAACAGGGAGCCCAAAATTGTTTCTGCATGCTTCAAACTCCGCGCCAGGCCGACAAAATCGTGCAAATAGCCCACCAGTAGGAGACAACCAAAGATCAGGTACCCTCGGAAGGTCATCGTCTTCCTTACAAACATCACACAGCGCCTCGAATTTGTCAAACGCGTTCATTACACCGGGTCTTCGTAGGATGCTTACTGGAAAAGGTTCCGGCAATGCCGGAAGTACGCCCTGCACCGGAGTTGCACCTAACGCCCTCAACACTCCTCCTGTTTTACGCACATCCAGTGCATCAAGTTCCGGATCGAAGTCGGTGCTGAGACCCAGTCTTCTCAAAACTCCTTCCATAATAAGCAGATTCAAGAAATAATCCGTACGATTAAAATGAATCAAAATTCTTATCTCTGTAGATATTATTGTGAAAATAGCAGCTGAAGGCTTCGATAAATCGATTTAGATCATGTCAATTTATCTAATTTAAGATGTTTAAGGAACTTTGTATTTGTCAGAATTCGTGAATAAGAAATATAAATTACAAATTACTTCTTTAAAATATTAAAAATGTGGGCTATTTAACTTAATGATCTTCGTGTTACAATTAACGTGTAATTTTGAATAAAGACACCAGTAACTTTAATTTCTGCAGCGCGGATTTGACAAGGTTTAATATTTTTAGTCTTAATGATGTACAAAGTAAGTTCAAAGTGAAAAACAATAAATTAAGTCGTAAGCAATTATTCGGAACACGTGTGTCTAGAATTACCAATCAATAACGCAAAGACCTTACGTATAGTGTAACAGCCCAAATTTTTTCTGAGTAAACTACTTAAATATGTAGCAATCTTAACGTGAAAAGGATATATGTGTTTATATGGTTAAAATATGAAATAAAAATTCGTAATTGATAAGTATATTTTTTTTCCCAGGATAATATTAGAATTTACTTTTGAATGCAGAATGATTGTTTTGATTTATATCTAGTCGAGGTTTATAGATTTCAAGTGGAATCGTATATATTCACAACATATATTCAGGTTCTGTTTCAAATGTATTTACAAGAGAACTTTCACTTACAGAGAACTTAAACCTCTGCGTTCCCCCCCCCCCCCCCTGAGTTTCATGATAAAGGTTGTTACAGTCGAGGCTAGGACCTTTAGGCTATTAGAAAATTACGCTTTTCGACGACGCAGTCCAGTAAACCACATTATATTGGCATTAAGGATCGACCACTCTCATAAACCTTAGGTAATTACACACAGAACAATATATTTTAATTCTACTCGCTCGGTAATTGATGTTCCATTGCAGCCTTATAAATCATTTTCTATCATTAGTAACACGTGTTGTAATAATTTTCATTTATCATTCGTTAATTCTTGTCATCGGCATATGGTGATAAGTGAACGTCAATCAGTAATTGAGGATTCGTGTGTTGTTTTGACAGTTCCGTGCTTCGAAATATTACTTGTATCGTGATTGTTCGTGCTTGTCTCCAATATTTGTAGCATATGTAAAAGCGAAATGTTATTTCTATTTGACATCTCGTTACTAAATGAGCACTCTAAGTTAACTTATCTATTAATCGTACATTGAATACACGCATTCTCGTTATTTAATCAATAAACAAAATGACCGAAAAGCCTAATAATATGTGGATTTAATTTTTATTTATCAAACATTCTTAAAATAATATTAAAAACTATTTGGTTAAATTTGAATAAACATTTTTATTCCATACGTTGATTAAATTCTGTAACTTCATCGTTAACGAAAATTAATATAACACATTTTTGAGCACTTATTTTGATTTAAATAGTGGATTTGGAAATCTTTGTAATATTTGAAAACAATTTGAAATAAACTTATGCATTACGTCAACGGTATTCGAATTCAAAATTCAAATCATCCGTACATTGATGACGATTTTTACTAGGATTCGTAAATGAACAGATAATTTATCGTTTAAAATTATTTTAAAAGTTTGTGTATTCAAAATGGAGAGATTAGTTTAACACACAGCACGCAAAAAAGTTGGTACACCATTTAGAAAGTATAAAATGAGTTACACGTACTGCTGAAAGTGATGTAATTTGAATGGAAGTTAACCGAAATTAAATCAGAGGTACATGAGGTAAAGTTGGACACGCTGAAAATTACTAAACTGAATCAAAATTTACCTCAACCCGGAGACGTCAAAACAATATGTAGGCTATTGTTAAGGGAGTCCTGACGAGTTTACAGCGTTACTATGGAGATGACCTTCAGTATCTAAAATGGGAGGCTTCAAATAGGAATCGGTTTTGAAACTAAAATACTTACATGCGCCCTTAACTTACAGAGATGTAATTATAAATCTGTTTTTAATTTGGATACCGTCATGATATGTCTTCCTTCAAGATAAACGGTACAGTATGAACCATGCTAATTGCTCCTAATTATTTTAACAATTTACTAAACCTCTGTTTTTGTAGAGTCCTGCCAAAACCCTTCAGAATTCATAATTTAAACGTTTTGAAACTCGTCCAAATAATATTTAAGAATTTTGTCCGTACCGCAAAGAAAACACTATACTTCATCATTACAAAGATCAGCTGATTAATGTTTATTAAGGAAATAATCGCTGTTTACATTGAGAATCATACAATACCTATAAATACGAAATGCAAATTTATTGTTAAACCAGGTTTTTATAGTTACAACTGTGCTTTAAAGACCGACAACTTTTCAGATAAGTTTTATTTAAAAACTTGAGTTGTTTTGCGTTCTCATTCTGCATCAAGTTATTTTCCTTTGTATTCGTTAAAATTCATGTTATATGAGACGTAGCAGAATAAGTATTGTAGTTTATGAAGACAGTGGAATCAAAAAATCTGTAATATTTATTTAATTTCAACGTTTCATTTGTTATTATATGTGGTTTACATGAGAGCAGCGTGGAACTCTATTGTTCCAATTCCACGAATGGGAGAGTCAAAAATAAAAATATACTTGAATTGTTTGTGGTGGGAATTTAATAAAATACTGTTTCGCGGCTGAAATTCTGTAAGTCCATTGTGTGTTCCTGCAGTTATTTTTAACATAACAAATAAACGATGTATTCGTAGAAAAATTACAAGGCTCTATTATAAATTGTACGTTTTTACAATTTTGCAGTATTTAATTTCAATAAGATTTATACGCGAACAATGAATGTTTGACTCAGTGCTGTGTTTGAGGTTTCGAAAAACAGTGAGTTTATGGCTAAAAAAGTCTTTTGGGATAGAAATAATAATCGCCCTGATGATGGAGGCAGGGATAATCACCGAATCTTCGGTCAAAACCTATCAGAATACACGGCGCAACATCCCAGATGACCGTGTAATATTCATTGTTTCGAGTACATGAAATCCCACCTAATATCATAGTAGTTTTCGCGAAGGACTACGTCGAACCCAGGACCTCTCGAATGCTATATTGCCTACTCTTATCCGTTTCTTCTCCTGTTTCTTTGAAAATATTTCGTTTTTAACTCTACATCTTTTAGGAATTATTTGACGTCTGTGGTTCGTAGAAAACCTCGTTAAGTGACCGTGGAACGTACTCCGTCCTTCATTAATAACCCCAGAACCTCCCCTCTCCTTACGGTGCCTAAGTAACTGGAAGATTTACCCAGCCCAAGAGATTTTCGGTTAGTTATTATTACTAAATTTCTAATCTTCTCTCCGAAAAAAAGCAACCAATGCCCATTTGTCCTTCGTTGTTCGTGCAATGCGAAGAAATTGAAATTGAAATTGAAATGAAGTTCTGACTTTGGCGACTATTGTAGTTTTATAATATATTCAGTGCCAATGAATATTAAAAATTTAATTCTCTAAGCTGGCATGTGTGTGTTATTGGCATTGATTTTAAGCGACAGCAATCATACGTACCACCTTATTTAACATTCAATAACTGCATTATACATAACATTCTTCCTGAAGATGGAACCTGTATGTTTCTCCGAAACGTTGATACGCATCTACAAGTGTATTTGGCGTTAAAAATGATATGACTATAATGGAAAACTACGTTTTATTGCATGATGCTGTTTCATGTGGCTATAATAGTTACATATTTCCTTTATGTACTACAGTTAAAATAGCGAATAT